CAGTGTCAGGGCCGAGGGGGCATTTCCTGCCGGACGGGCCCTCCCCAGCCTCCCTCCGTGGCTCTCCGTGGCCAGTGTCTCCAGGAAAGCGTGTTCTCAAACGCACAGCTCACGTGGCTTCCCAAGCCCCAGCGGGCACCGTACCTTCTGGTTGTACATCAAACAATGTGGCCCCCAGCTGGGCAGCTCCAACCCAACTCCAAGCCCGGACGGTGGCCGTGCGCCAAGGGGGGGGGGCTGCGCGTTGCCCCACAGGGACGCCTGACCTGTGTCCGCAGGTGCTGGATGTCACGGAGCAGCTGGATGCGGGGGTTCGGTACCTGGACCTGCGGATCGCACACATGCTTGTCGGCTCTGAGAAGAATCTGCACTTCGTGCACATGGTGTACACCACTGCGCTGGTGGAGGTGCGGGGGCATGGGGGGTGCACGGCTCAGCGGGCGGCCTCCACCCACGTGCACCGCGCAAGGAGCAAGCCGGCCTTCCGAACTCGTGACCGGGGTGCATTTCCGAGCTTGCTCCTGGACCCCTGACTCCTCCAGTGTCTCCTGGAGTTTGCAGAAGGGGCCCCTTGTCTTCCCGCCTTTGGCTGGGGTGTCCTCGGTCTCCCTAGCCGCTACATGACGGGTTCCAAAGTGTGAATGTGACACATCACCGTCATGCTTCACACCTGCTCTGGGCACCCTGGCCCCCCTGCAAGCCCTCCAGGGTGTGAGTGTGCCCGGGAGACACCATCCCGGGGATCTCGCTCCACATGCCGCTGGCTGGCCGTGGCGTGCTCCCTGGCACTTCAGACTGCACACCTCGGCCCACGCGGTCACACGCATGTGCCTCTGGAGTGAGCGTGCACACACGCGGTCACACACACATGCACAGGCACAGCCAGGCGTGTGCTTCTGCCCCCCCCCCCGAGCAACGGCTGACGGCCCAGCTGTTGCTTTGGCGAGGCTGCGTTCGAGACGGCTGCCGCCTGCTGCACGTGTCTTTTGTGCAGACCTGGCCTGTTCGTCCAGTGAGTGTTGTTCAGAGAAGCCCCTTCGATCTGCGGAGCGTCCCCCACCTTCCTGGCCTCTCTGGGGACTGTGTGCACGAGCTCCTCTCTCCCCTGCGCAGGACACGCTCACGGAGATCTCAGAGTGGCTGGAGAACCACCCCCGGGAGGTTGTCATCCTGGCGTGCAGGAACTTCGAGGGCATGACGGAGGACCTGCATGAGTACCTGGTTGCCTGCATCCGGAACATCTTTGGGGACATGCTGTGTCCCCGAGGGGTGAGAAGGGCCCCTTTGGCAGGGCTGCAGGATGTGGATGGTAGACTTACCTGCTGCTTGGCTCTGGTGCATGACTCTGACAGAATCCTGGTGCTGGGTGAGGCTGCTCGTGTGGTCCTCTTGATGCCCCGAAAGCGGAGAGACCCCGGTCTTCCCATGCGAAGTGCAGCACATACACCACCCGGACAGAGGAGGGCTGCTTCTCTAGCACCTCGGGTCACACTTAGTTCCTCTTTAGAAGTTGCCACGGTGTTTCGACGCCCTGAGCATTCTCTGGGTGTGCCCCAGGGCCACTGTCACACAGTCCACCATGGGGCAGCCTCAGAACTACAGAGATGTATTCTCTCCCAGTCCTAGAGGCTGGGAGTCTGAGATCCAGGCAGGGCTGAGGCTGGGAGTCTGAGATCCAACTGGGGCTGGAGGCTGGGAGTGTGAGTGAGATCCAGGTGGGGCCGAGGCTGGGAGTCTGAGATCCAGGCAGGCCTGAGGCTGGGAGTCTGAGATCCAGGAGGGGCTGGAGGCTGGGAGTCTGAGATCCAGGTGGGGCTGGAGGCTGGGAGTCTGAGATCCAAGTGGGGCTGGAGGCTGGGAGTGTGAGTGAGATCCAGGTGGGGCCGAGGCTGGGAGTCTGAGATCCAGGCAGGCCTGAGGCTGGGAGTCTGAGATCCAGGTGGGGCTGGAGGCTGGGAGTCTGAGATCCAGGCAGGGCCGAGGCTGGGAGTGTGAGAACCAGGAGGGGCCAAGGCTGGGAGTCTAAGATCCAGGGGCTGCTGAGGCTGGGAGTCTAAGATCCAGGGGGTGCTGAGGCTGGGAGTGTGAGATCCAGGCGGGGCTGAGACTGGGAGTCTGAGATCCAGGCAGGGCTGAAGCTGGGAGTGTGAGATCCAGGGATTGCTGAGGCTGGGAGTCTAAGATCCAGGCAGGGCCGAGGCTGCGAGTCTGAGATCCAGGCTGGGCCGAGGCTGGGAGTGTGAGATCCAGGAGGGGCCGAGGCTGGGAGTGTGAGATCCAGGGGTTGCTGAGGCTGGGAGTGTGAGATCCAGGGGGTGCTGAGGCTGGGAGTCTGAGATCCAGGCAGGGCTGAGGCTGGGAGTCTGAGATCCAGGAGGGGCTGAGGCTGGGAGTCTGAGATCCAGGTGGGCTGGAGGTTGGGTCTGAGATCCAGGGGGTGCTGAGGCTGGGAGTCTGAGATCCAGGCGGGGCTGAGGCTGGGAGTCTGAGATCCAGGCGGGGCTGAGGCTGGGAGTCTGAGATCCAGGAGGGGCTGAGGCTGGGAGTCTGAGATCCAGGCAGGGCTGAAGCTGGGAGTGTGAGATCCAGGGATTGCTGAGGCTGGGAGTCTAAGATCCAGGCAGGGCTGAGGCTGGGAGTCTGAGATCCAGCGGGTCCTGAGGCTGGGAGTCTGAGATCCAGGCAGGGCCGAGGCTGCGAGTCTGAGATCCAGGCAGGGCTGAGGCTGTGAGTCCGATCATGGTGGGGCGGAGGCGGGTTCTTCCTGAGGTAGACACTGTCTTCTCCCCATGTCCTCACGTGATCGTCCCTCTGTGCGTGTCTGTGTCCTCATCCCCTCTTTTTATAAGGACCCCAGTCCTATGGGATCAGAGCCCACCCTGTGACCTCATTTTACCTACATTATCTCTTTAAAGACCCCACCTCCAAATAGTCATGTTATGGGGTATTAGGGTGAGGACTTCAATGTGTGATTTTCGAGGGGACACAGTTGAGCTCACAACACAACCTGTGCTTTATTATCTTCTTTTCTTTTTTAAGATTTTATTTATTTATTTGAGAGAGAGGGAACACAAGCAGGGGAAGCAACAGTGGGAGAGGGAGAAGCAAACACCCCACCGAGCAGGGAGCCTGACCTGGAGCTCAATCCCAGGACCCCGGGAGCATGACCTGAACTGTAGGCAGACGCTTCACCGACTGAGCCACCCAGCTGTCCTTGTGCTTTACTATCTAGATAATTTTTTCCATTTGCCAGTGGGGAAAGAGGCCTCCCTTAGTCTCCAGGAACCTGAAACGTCAACTCCATGTCCATTTTGGGTCCATTTTATATCACTTTGTTTGGCATTTGTCCAATTACGTCCTATAAGCCAGGAGAAAGCACTGTGGTCCCTCAGGGTTTGGGGCCAGAACATAGACCATGGGGCTGCTGTGAACCAGGGCGCCCAGGTGCTCGGGGATCCTGGAGTGATCGTGGCGGGAAAGGTTGCCCTGGGGAAACACCGCCATTCTGAGTCTCCCGTGGGGACATCACAGGAGAGACAGAAGAGGGTGGGAGGTCGGATGTTCAGCCTCGGGGGACCAGAGCACCGGTCCTTTGACAGGGTGTAATGTCGTAAAAGGTGACCTTCCGGGGCACCTGGGTGGCTCAGTTGGTTAAGTGTCTGCCTTCGGCTCAGGTCATGATCCCAGGGTCCTGGGATCGAGTCCTGCATCGGGCTCCCTGCTCCACGGGGAGTCTGCTCCCTCTTTCTCTGCCCCTCCCACTGCTCATGCTCTCTCTCTCAAATAAATAAAAACCTTTAAAAAGGTGACCTTCCTTGTGCCCATCACTATTCGAATCGTCTCAGCGAGTCAGTGTGGGCTCAGGGTGCTGATAATAAAACTAGTACCCTGTTCCCCTAAGAACCCGGAGGTCACAGTGCAGTTCTGGATGCTGCCCTGCCCTCTGTCATGTTCCCTCTATAGACACCCCTATAATGCTACATCACTGTCTCTCTCAGACACCCCCATTCACCACCACCACTGGCTCTAAGACACCCTGATACTCCACCATCACCATCTCTCAGACACCCCGATACTCCACCATCATTGTCTCTCTCAGACACCCCATCCTTCACTACAATGGTCTCTCAGACACCC